TTCATTTGGACGTGTAATGTTGGTAAAACATAAACAGAACGGGTCGTATTATGCGATGAAAATTTTGGATAAACAAAAAGTGGTAAAATTGAAGCAAGTTGAGCATACACTTAATGAAAAGCGTATACTTCAGGCAGTTGACTTCCCATTTCTAGTCAATATGGAATATTCATTCAAAGTATATCTTTCATTTGAAATAAAAATTATTTTCAAAAATGTTTTTTGTTCCTAAAAATTTTGTTTAACAAGAAATGCAAAAAGGAAATAGGGAGACGGACAATTTTTTGTGCAAAAAAAAAAATTTGCAAATTAAATTTGAATCAAAACAATTTCTTAGCAGATTTCATATGTATTTAGTTGTTAAATGATTACTCTATCAATAACAGATATAATAATAATTATGGCAGAATGAGAGATATTGAATATTGATTCTGTTAGTTATTACATTACGAGTAAAATTTACCGAACTGTAATAATATACTTAATATTATTCATATATAAAATTTGTTGAAAAAAGAAAAAAAAACTTAGATCTTTTTTTTTTTTCAATATTAATATAGCCAAACACATACAATCATTTTATTCCACGTTTATTGATAGCGGTAAAATTTTTTTTAATACGCTATTATTTTTGATTGATAGCCATAAATATTATTTCTTATTAATGGCATAAATTTGTATTTTGCTTTTCCAATAATAAAGTTTGTATTTTTACTATGGATAAAAATATAAATTTTATTATTTTCATTCATTCAAATTTGAACTTTTAATTTTAAAATAGTTCTTTATTTTATTAGCATATAATGATGTTCTACATCTGTAAAATATGAGAGTTCAAGAAAAAAAAAAAGAAAGAAGAATGAAAGAAAGGAAACTTACTGATGAAAATTATGAATGGTAAAGGAAAGAAAATGGATGACTAATAATGCAAAGATGAAGATTCATTTTTTTTTTTAATTTAATCGTTTTTTCTTTCTCTCTTTTTAGGATAATTCAAATTTGTATATGGTGCTCGAATTTATTGGTGGTGGTGAAATGTTCTCACATTTACGGCGAATTGGTCGTTTCAGTGAGCCGCATTCTCGTTTTTATGCGGCACAAATTGTTCTTGCATTCGAGTATCTTCATTCCCTCGACCTCATTTATCGAGATCTCAAACCTGAGAATCTCCTTATTGATAATACTGGCTATATCAAGGTTTGGTATTATCTCGATTTTTGCATATGCATATTTATATGGTGGAAATAAATATTTTTGCATTAAGTATTCTATTTTACATAAAGTTTAAAAATAGCAAAATTATGAAGTGTTAAAATGGAATTGATAAGATCTCTTGTTTGATAAGATCTTTGATGTTTGATAAGAATTGATAAGATCTTTGTTGAATTTATATTTGCTAAAATTAATAAACATATCAATTAAAATCAATCATCTATGACACGAAAAAAATAGTAAAATTTGAAAAATTTTCATGCTTTAACTGCACAAACATTGTAGCTTATTTTAATACTGAATGGTATTCTTATAGTAATAGAATATTACGTTCATTCTATAATATCGAGTATTAATGGTATTGCCCAAAAAGGTGCCAATACTTCTTTTACTTTGATTTACTAATAATTTATAGGTTTAGTAATGATTAAATAATGTTTGGTACAAAGTGTTTCAAAATATTTCAGTAATATTTAATTATCTTCCGATAATATTTCAAATATATAGCAATATATATATATTAATAATATGTGTAAGCAATTATTGTAATCTTCATTTCTTAGATATTTATTGACTGAAGTAAGTTACAGTTTTCGTTTTTGGTAAATTATCATGTTTTGTTACGTAAACAATCTATTACGTTAATTTATTCGTAGCATCATGCAAATTTTTTGTTCTTCTCTTTATAGATTACCGATTTTGGTTTTGCAAAACGTGTAAAAGGACGAACGTGGACTTTATGCGGAACACCAGAATATCTTGCACCAGAAATCATATTGAGCAAGGTGATAGCATTTTCAATCTAACAATTTTCAAATTTAATTTAACTTTTTAACATATATATGTATATATATTTGATATATTGATATAACAGTTTTCAAATTTAATTTAAATTTTTAACATATATATATATATATCAAAAGTCATAAATTTACTCGTTCCAGAAAATAATGTAATAAATTTCAGGGTTACAATAAAGCAGTTGATTGGTGGGCATTAGGTGTGCTCATATACGAAATGGCTGCTGGTTATCCGCCGTTTTTTGCAGATCAACCGATACAAATTTACGAAAAAATTGTCTCCGGAAAAGTAAGCTTACGATTACTTTCATTACAAAGTTCTTTTAATAAAGAGATCATTCAATAAATTTCGAATTTAACTTGCTGAGTGAGAATATTCACTTCATAAATCTTTTATTAAATTATTTAATATTTCAACTGCTTTAATCTTAATATTATCGATTAGTCCTAACAACAACTCTTACATTCATTTCAACTTTCAAAAAAAAAAAAAGAAAGAAATTTGTTTCTTTTTAATACATCTACTTATTTATTCCTAAATACGAGAGAATAATTTACTAAGGACTATTATATATGTAGTTCTTAAACTTTTTTTTTGACTTCGCAATTTAATGCGTTAATTAAAAACCCCACATATTACTCATTTATCAACTGATTAATCGAGTATTTTTTAACGAATAAACAATGAATGCATGCGATGCTTGAACAATTAAAATCTAATTCTGTTAAATAAAAGAAATAAGGAACGCTTTTTTTTTTTAAAATTGTTTTCTAAGTAAAAAGAAAAACATATATTTCAGGTGAAATTTCCATCATATTTTTCGAACGAACTTAAGGATTTATTGAAGAATTTATTGCAAGTTGATTTAACGAAAAGATATGGTAACTTAAAAAATGGTGTTGCTGATATCAAAAATCACAAATGGTTCAGTTCAACAGATTGGATTGCTGTTTACCAAAGAAAGGTTAAAATTTAAATTGTACTTTTAATAAGTTTGGTATCTTTTAACGAATACATCATTCCATTCATGATAAACTAATGAGTCTTTTTTCGTTTTTCTTTTTAGATAGATGCTCCATTTTTACCGAAATGTCGTGGTGCTGGTGATGCTTCTAATTTCGACGAATATGAAGAAGAACCATTGCGGATTTCGAGTACCGAAAAATGTGCAAAAGAATTTGCCGACTTTTAGCGAGTAATTTTAATAATAGAGGCGAGAGAAAAAAAGAAAGAAAAAAAAGTTGGAATGAAAATTTTTTCCAAATAACAGCTAACGAAGAAAAAAAGAAAAGTAACTATCGTTTGTTTCTTTTTTTTTCGCTTTTTTCTCTGCATCTTCTTCTTTTTCTCTGCATAAATATTTCATCAACTGAATCAATTGAAATATTGTGTGCTATATGGTATGATTTGGTATCAGTCGATCAATTCGATAAATCAATCAATAAATCAATCGATCGATCAATCAGTCGATCAATATGATCAATATGATTCTTGAATGAAATTTCCATACAAACTGACATATTATATTAGAGTTATGGACGACTATGTATTTTCTTTTCTACATAGAGATAAAAGAAAAATGGGTTCTTTCTTTGTATATTTTCTTCTTAGATTTTAGCTTAATTTTTGATCAAATGTCTTGTACAGAATTTATTTTAACTTAACATACTCATTGAATTGATGTTTGTTTTCAATTCATTTTATTGTATAATTGTGATTACAAAAAAGCAAACATTAAATTAGAAATTAATATTTGATTAAGTTGAATTTAAATTACTATTTGATGTACTGTTGATTGAGCTTGTTTTTTTCGTCATATAACGAGTCGCCATTCTGTTTGATAAAATTTTTTAAATTTTGATTTTTTCTACGTTTCAAATAATAATACAGGATGCTCGTCTTCTACTTTTTTTTTTCTCTCTCTCTCTCTCTATCTATCCTCTATCCATCTACCTATCTTTTCTTCTTTCCATTTTTCATTTTTATTTTCTAAAATGGAAAATGATTAGGAAAAAATGAAATTGATGCTGAAAATTGTGTAAAATATCTTTTGAAAGCAAAGAAAACAAAAAAAAAAAGGTGGAAAAAATGAGGTGATAAAAATGATGAAAATTTAAAAATCTGTTTTCTTTTCTTCGCCAAACTATAATTTTCGCTTTTTTTTTCTCGAAAAACTTTATAGAAATTTTTTTACAACAAAGATGAATTTTTTATGAAATCAATCATATTTTCTGAATAAGTTATTTTAATTTCTACTTTCAACAGGCTCTACGTATTGCAAATCTATAACTCTTCCCCATTTCACTTTCCTTATGTCTCTCCAAACCAAACTTTTAATTACCGTAAATAAGATGCAGAAATTTTTATGCTTAATATTTAAATGATATTGTTTTTCTAGTCGTTTCAATAATATATCAGTGGTAACTCTTTATTTTATTACTATTAGCATTACTATTGAATTATTAGTATTATCATAATTATTTATAAAATGGTATCTTGAAGTTCTTGAGGTGAAAAGTGAAATGGACCAACTTTATGTTATTGTTGTTAATGTTGGTGATGATGGTTTGTGTAAAGTTTTGCAAAAATTTAGAACAAATGATACCATTAGCAAAAAAACGTATGATTGACGACAATATATGCGAATATATTATATGCATAAATGAATTAAATAATATATTTAATTGTTGCTTATGATTAGAATTTGCTAAATGCAAGTAGTATTTATAAGTTCAATTCCAGGTAGTGCTTGATAAGGCAATTATTCGTTATTTAAGCTCCAATTTTATAAGGCTTCAAAATGCAATATAGTATTGATTAATCTTACCAAGTCGGAAAAAATAAAAAAAGAAGGGAATATCTTCAAACTAGAAGTAAATAAAACCCGACAAATTCTTAAATTTTTTTCATCCA